AAGTAGCTCCATTATATCCTACATGAGAAAATGCCCAGGGAACACACCCGATTTAGATTCATTCCACATCATGTTAAATCAAACCCCCTCAAAAAGAAATTTACTTTTAACATTGTGAAGTGATTTATTTTTTTTATCAAGTGTAATCTACCTCAACCCTCAAGTTGTCTGGCTAAAAATTTTGGAATGCATCCCCTATTTTTTACTTTTACAATAATGTAAAAAGCATTTTTGATTTACGTTTTTTCATTATACATTATGTTCTCAAAGAATGTATTCCTTTCACAACTCAAGGTATACCTACAGTAACTCTTAGTAAATTATTGCACCTGTTACCCATATCCGAGTCCTCTTGAGGTCTTGAGTTATATGGTATATCTTCAGGACATTTAACCTTTAGGGTTGGGTTAGGAGATATTTTTCTTTCTTATCTGTATGTTATTGATTTTTAGTTACATTTGAGACTAAGGTAGAAAATGTTTCCAAAGAGGTAGATGAATGGGATCCACTTGAGACTTGAGTCAAGTAAATTGGAAAATGATGATTGTGTGCTGCCGCAAATGGATCAATCACACAATGACCAAGGTTTGGCAAAATTAGTGAAAAACTGAAGAGGTGAAGGGTCCACTTTGTAGGGAGTTGCCCTGATCTCTGGAAAGTGAATACACAAGAATGTTCATAAAATCTGGCACATGAAAGGCTTAGAAATTAAAATGACGTTTTTAGAGCCACAGGTTAAGAAAGACCACAGCAAAACAAACACTGCAAGACTGAGTTCTTCTCTGATTGTTGATGTACATCATTATTGGAGATTTGTCAATATAAACTAAAACACAACAGTGGTCTAGCAAGGTTAAGAATCCTTTATAAGCATGCTGATCTACTCAAAGTTCTAAATGATTGATGCAAGATTGACATTCTAGGTGAGATCATGAATCCAAAAGATAATATTGAGAGAGAAATCTGTGAAGATGTGCAGATCTGCATGAGTAATAACAAAATGAGATCCTGAAGAAATACAGTCTTGATTGAATCAAGATTGTAGATAATCAAAAATAGCAGGAGAAAGGGAAATTCTATAAGATAATGTGTCTGAAGATAGATGCCACATGGAAGCAAGGTCTCGTTAAAGGTATAGCATATGAGCAAACTGCAAAGAAATAAATTCATCCCCAAAGCAGAAACAATAAACTTGAAAGTAGGTGTTGAAAACAAAGAGTATGTACACAAGACCCCAAGGCTTGCAATGCTACAGGAGACTGAGAAATGTACCTTAAACCCTAGATACACTACTTACTGTGAGGGTACTATATGGAAAGTGGAGTTATGAATCAACTGCCCATAAGATGCAGCCAGATAAGTGGTCAACTAATAGTGAGTAAAAGAACAAATGAATAATAGTGTCAGAATAAGCCAAACTTCAATGTAAAAGTAAACCATGATATCAGGTAAATGGAGAAGACCAACAAACTAAAATACTCAATGGAAAAAATATAGAACTGAAGCCAAACCAAAGGAAAAGGCAGTGAACCAACTCAACTACCTCCTATGGCAAAAGTGAATAACTAATGGGATGATGAATAAATATGGACATAAAAAAAGCATCCTATATATCTATCATCATCCTCCAATGGTTGCAATGAAGAAACTTTTAAAACAATGTCATAAAATGAGATTTCTCCAGGAAAAGATGAGTTTAGAAGGTCTATGACATGTCTCCAATATCCTGTTATCTTCAAAACAACAAACAGAAAAGAATAACAACCTGGAGAAGTATGATAAATTATTCTGACTGCTTCTTTCAGAAAAAAGGTTTGAGATTTCCCAATTCAACATTTGTGACTTGAATGGAAAGAAGAAAAGACATGTGGACAATAAACCCAAATTTATAATCTGCTACATCTGAAACAGCTGCAAATAAAATAAGGCTTCTCCAGGAAAAGATGAGTTTAGAAGGTCTATGACAAGTCTCCAATTTCCTGTTATCTTCAAAACTACAAACAGAAAAGAATAACAACCTGGAGAAGTATGATAAATTATTCTGACTGCTTCTTTCAGAAAAAGGTTTGAGATTTCCCAATTCAACATTTGTGACTTGAATGGACAAAAGAAAAGACGTGTGGACAATAAACCAATATTTATAATCTGCCATACCTGAAACAGCTGCAAATATGTGTTAGTTGTGAGTAATGAATAAACTGTTATAATTATGTACATCTTAAACAGAGATGCAAATATCTGCAGTGATCCGAGATGATTTCCCAACAGTCCAGACTGGATATTCTTCTGGAACAGAAGAATTAGTAAGTGTGTCAAAAAATACACACTTTGCTTATCTCTACTTTTTGGCCACTCAGCAAAAGTGAACAAGAGAGGCAAGGCAGAAGAATGAATATTACTTGCTAGTAATGTCAACGAAGTGACTACCAGAAGCAAGATAAACACCAATCAACTCCTGCTAGCATGCTTCTCCTGAATGGAATACTAATGTAGGTGAAATCCTCCAAAGACAATGACGAAAGAAGCTCTTTCAAGGTCAGCCGAGGAAAAAGAGAGTACTTTCAAAAAAAGAATAGTTGGCTAAGATGTCAAAGAAACATAGAAGCAATGAGGTAATACAAACTAAATTAGTGAGAGCAACAGCAATTGAATACTACAAGCATTTTTTTTTCATCTTGGCCAAAAAATCAGGTGAATGAGAGTATCTGGTAGCTAACAAGTATCCTGACAAAGAGAGCCTCAAAATGACAAATCACAACACACAAAAAAACAGTGATCTGAAGTTTAAGAACTGGAGGAGTAAGAAGAGTTGAGGATAATGACCACACTGAAAGGAGATTAAAAATTAGCTGATGTTTAAAGACATTAGCAATGGCCTAAGAATCAATACAAAGTAGAAAATATAAAGATTCATGAACTGAATCATCCAACATAACATTAGCTCCCTCAGGCATAACAGAAAATAATTCAAGAATTGAAATAGCAAAAAAAATGAAATAGACTGGCAGAAGCTTATTCAGATTTAGGGCTAGTTGACAAATCTACTCTTCAGAGGATGAAAATGAATAGGCCCAAGTAAAATCGTTTATATTTTCTATAATGATAAGTGCAGATTTCCCACCCTTGTGAATGTGAAAACCCTCTAGAAGCACCAGCAGACAATACATAAGCAATGGACAGACTACATTGGTTAATAAAGGTTGACGATACAGCTATGGTACATTTTTTTTACACTAGACTATGTGAAAAACACTTGTAAAGAAGTTTTAAAATTTCTAATATTCGTAGAAACATCTGCAGAAGCAAATAATGTGACATCAAAATTCATAATAAGTGTACCTAAAAACACAACTGTGAGCAAGAAAATCTGAATTGTGTTGGGAAAGTAAACCTTATACAAGATTTTTCTAATGCAGGGAAGGTAGTAAAGCTAAGAATTACAGGTAAATGACACTCACTATGCAACATTCAGAATCTTCAGTCACATTTGTTGGGAGCATAAAAGGACATTAAACAAGGAAAGGCTTACAGTATTTCAGAAATAAAATTACCTAACTAGTTTACCAAATCTCTGAAAAAATATAGTGTTTGATATCCTTATGATAACAATATACAGAACTTTAATCAACCATTAATTTCATACAGGTCCAGAATTAGTGTAAAACAGTGAAAAAGTATAAGAAACATCCTAACCCTTGTTGTATACAGGGCCTACACTAGCAATGTCTCATGTTATTATTGGTAATTAATGTAAAAATACACCAGACAATAGCAAACAATAATAGTTACCACAACTCTTGACTTTCCTACAGTAGGCTAAAAGTAAATGTAAAAAGTATTTCCAAATACATTTGATAAGCAAAATGGTCATAGCAATAGGCATAAGATGACACCAGATTGCAATGGTTCATAATCCAATATTAATTCTCTGTCAGCCTAGTGTGGAAGTCCAAAAAAGAAGTGTCAAAAGCAATATTTAATGGTTCTTAATATTAATTCATTATTGATCCTGCCTAGTTTCTCAGTTTGATTATAGTGCAGAAAATATTACTAACAATTTTGTTTGTTGTAATTAGTCATTGAAATGTTGAATAACAATCTGATGGGACCAGGTAAAATGCTACACCAAATCAGACTGATCTTTACAGTAATTGTGAAGCAAAACAGATAACAAGTATGAAAAACCTTCTTACTACAATAACAGAAAAAAAAATCATATTTCAACTACAATGATACCATGAAAAATGAAAAAGATAAACATAAAAAATTACCGTTGATACGATGATATCTGAAATGCTTATCAATAAAATTATTGCTCACTCACTTGGGACTTTTATTTTGGAACAAGTTCAAAACTGACAGCAAATTATGCTAAGCTTACAGTAAAAACTAACAAGCAAACTCAGTGGTCAGTGGTTTTTGTCCTGTAAAACAGAATTCCAACTACTTGCTGAATTATGAAGTTAAATTTCTAAATTAATTTAATAAAATTGAAAGTTATCGATATAAAAATAGTGTATTTATGAAGACTTCTGATGGTTCTCTCAGCACTAAAAATTGTACAAAAAGAAAAAATATGATGGGGAAGGAGGCATAAGCAAGAGTGAAAAAACAAAGTAGATTGGGATATCAATAACATTTAGCTCTTTTTATTAAACACTCATGCCTCCTAAATTCTAAATAGCTAATGTTATATTATTAATGTATCTATTAAAGTCTGATGTACATGAATAGTAGTTATACACATTCATTTTGTAAATTATATATATGTATACACACACACACACACACACACAACTAAATTACATTACATTCAGCAGGTAATTAAGTTTGACATTTAACATGAAACCACATTCATTATACATTTGATTAACAGACATGACTTGGCTAACATTTAGTCTACTCAAAAAAAAATTTTTAAAAATCAACATTCAAGAAAAATTCCTATATTTAGAAGATAAGTTGCTATGAAAATATTATTCAGTAAAAAAATAACTAACCTTTTCTGTTGCTCTTCTTGTGTGACTGGAATACATAATAAAAACTTTCTACAGGAATTATGAGTCTGAAAACTATGGACTGACTTGGTTAGACTTTCTTCGTTGTTCTCCATCTCTTTCTGGCTTCTTTTTGGTTTGATCTCATTCCCTTCTTGTGTTGACAGCAAATCTTCAAAACAATTTTTGTTTTCTTAAAAGATTCACAATCTTTTATTTTATTGAAAAATCCTCCAAAACTATTTTTTATTGGTTTACATGCATTTTGGTTCATATTTCCATTCTCAGTATAACAGAAGAATAGTGGTGTTGTTTCATCTAAGGTAAGACTAATATCCTTTGCTGAATAACAAGTTGAAGTTGTTGGTATATTTTTGTTTACAGAAGAATCATAATGATAAAATGTTGCTTTTTGTGTTTCATGTTGAAGCACAGTGTCATCTATAGAAGAATACAAGTTTTGTGTTTCATATCCATTCAAGCACACTTTCCTTGGCCAGCATGATATAATGGGCATTTTATCTTGTGCTGATGAATTTATTTCAGCAGCACCAGAAAATGTCAGTGTTAGAATTTTATTTTGTTTTGTATTAAATTCCTTGGAAGGGTTTGCTAATAATGTATCATTACTAAAACAACAACATTTGAAACTTGAAGTTTTTTTCTGTCTTAAACTAACTTGGGTTGATGCTTGCAGTTCATTCTGATAAATGCAAGGTTGCTGAGAATTACTGAAAGTTCCTTCTGTTGCTTTACTCTGATTTAATCTGGTATTCATAATGTTTAAACTTCTGTTCTTTTCATGCCACCAAACTAATACATCATTTTGAAGATTAACTGATGCTGATTCCACTAGGGTTTTTGGTACTTTCCAAACTCCATGATCTACTATCTCTACATTTTCACAGTGAAACCAGTTTTCATCTACTGGACCCAAATCTAAAAATATTTGAAAACAATATTCTATGCTTAGATATTAATATTTTATCTCTGCAAGTTACAACAATTTGCTTATCTCAGTGATGCTAATTTTAAGCATTCACACCATTGCAATGTTAAAAAAATTAATTTTTCTAACTGTTTTTATACACATTTAAATCTACAGCCATAGGAGGGTCAAAAGTGTGCATGTTGCAACATTTTTATAGTTACATTGAAAACAAACTACTTTATTATCAATGTATGCTAATAGAATTGATATCAAGAAATACATAATAAGACATTTTTGTATTATCTACATTTTTCATTCTTGATTTAAAATAAATTCTCAATTTACATCTCTATGTCACTTGACACTGTAGCACTCTGACTTCTCATAAATTTTCTCTTCACTTAAGAGCTTCAAATTGTTCAACCAACATATACCACAGTTAGTGAAAAGCCAGAATACAAAATTTCAACCTCTTAACATTTTGGTTTACTGAAGAATTACTATTTGTTCAACCCACATTAACAAGCTTTTAAGAAATGTCCATAATTCTCTCTCTGGCATTGCCATTAGACACTTTTATAACCAATATAAAGAGTAAATTCTAAAGCACATAAAACAAATGACTGTCAGTTGTTTTCCTGGTCAAAGTCAACAGTTCACCAGGAGAGCTTGTTGTGTTTAGACTAAAGACAATGTTCTAATAGGTAATGGAAATATTTTCAACCTATGAACTGGTTACTTAGAAAGCTAGGTAAATTATAATAGTTTTGGGACATTCTATTCTAATTCCCAATATATTATTTGTTCTAAAATTCATATTTGAAAGCTACATACATTTTTGGACAGCCAACATAGAAAAAAAACTAGGCTTACTAAACCACCTACCCAAGTGCAAAGGCCTCAAGGCTAACAAGTACTAATTTTTTTTGTTTTAATGTCAATTTTTTATTTATTGGTTTATATTTTTACAAAAATAACTCAAATGAAAATTGGAAACTTATTAGAAAACTTAAAAATTATCCATGAATAATACCCATGGGCTGTTGTCACATGATGTAAATCCTGATGTTTACCCTAATTCTTGCCAGGTGATTTGCTGCTTTGTTATGCTAATTAGACTCAGTTAAAAGAGCAATAAAACAATAACATTAATTGATAGTATATATGAAACTGTTAGGAGCCCAAGACTGTTTAGGATATATAACTGTAATTATCTGTTACAATCTGCAGTAATTATAAAAAAGTTATTTTTGATTTCATTTAATATTTTTTCACTTTTGCTACAGATGATTTAGCTATAGTCAGAGCTAAAGTATAAAGTTCCACCAAAAAAGAAAAATTAAAAAATCTTAATTTTTGCATAAAAAATACTTGTAATGTTTACTAAAAGCTCACTGGAATGCAGACTGGAGGACTGAAACTATGTCTAGAAATAAAAGGACTAATCATACTCCAGAAGAATTTTTTTCTATTCAAACCTGATCTTTCAGCTTCCACCTTTCTCGAGGGTTACAGGGTCACATAGAAATACAAATTGATAACTGAAAAAAACACTTACAACAATTTAAAACTGACTTACAAATGGTAATGTCACACGTTAAAAGAAATTAAAATGACTAAGTTACAGAAAATTGCAAGCTATCAAACACACACACGCACAAGTAATAATAATAGTAATCACAAAGGCCAAGAATTATTTCTGATTATTTCAGGTTTACAAGATTGAATCAGGAGAAACTCTTTGAACTTATAATCAAGAAAACTTACACTTTGCTAAAAGCTTAATGTTAAATGGAGCTTTAACTGATGTACCAGGTGTTATAAAAAAGTGTTCAGCATGGCCTCTTTAGAATCCAGACTCAAGGTGACACAGAGGTGTTCCATAAAATGTTCATGTACTAGACAACTAGTTTTACCAATGTATTTATCATCATACTAGTACACATCACTTAACATATAACATTTTTAACAGTATAAGAAGTACCCAGTAAATTGTTTCTAGCAGGACAACTGGTTGCTTTACAATAATTTTTTTTGTTTGAAAGACATACAAACAAGTAATGTTTTTGTGCAATCCTCAGGTTTAGTATGATACAGATATTTAACCCAATTTTTTATAGCTTTGCATTGATGCTTCATGATGGGTAGAGTCCAGATACCATTTTTCGTCTATGAAGATTTAATGAACTGCTTTTGTCCAACTATTAGCAAGAAACCTTTTCAAGATTTCTGAAATATAATTATCAGGTTAGCCATTACAACCTAGCTGTTGAAGCCCAACCTAGCTGTTGTTTTACCATCATTTGTGTTGCAGATTCTTTCAATTCAATTACCTTATCCAATAATTATACCATATTTAGTATCAGGTGGATGATGTGGGTGAGATGAAGAATTAATAATTTAGCATATGATTTTTAATGCATTTTAGTAAGAAGTTTGTTATTTTCAACAAAGATAATGGCATCAAGAAAAGGTAAGATGCTGACAGAATCCCCAGTGTGCAAAAGAGTAAATTTAATAATAGGATGCAAGTACTTAAGGAAAATTAACATTTTCCTAAATTGAAAATGTATTTCCAATAATACTTACCTCCACTGAAATTTTAGCTATTTCCTGATCTTCAAGGTTTCTACCCCTTTGTCCATCTAAGCATTGAACTCACTTGCTCCAGTCTTTTATACCCCACTTGAATGCCCTTGGCAATATCTAATTTGAAAAACTCTCCACCAACATCAATACGCCCTCTATCCAGATAATATAATCACTTTTTCGAGACTTAAGATATTCCCAACACTAACACCAGCTCTTAGTGGGGAGGAAGGATGGGAGAGTATCAGCAGAGGTAAGTATTATTGGAAATATAATTTAAATCTAGGAAAATGTTAACTTCAAAAACATACCATCCACTGACACTTTAGCTAGAATCCTACATTGGGAAGGTGGAGGGGCCAGTGAGGGCATTATTCATACAGAAAGCATCTGCACAGAACCTGGATGTACCAAGATAAGAGTGGAACCTAAGTAGGAAAAACCACACTACATCCAGAACAGGTATGCTTTTCACCCAGAACTGAGTATCAATATCATGGGTGGAATAGTACATGAATAATTATTATAGGCCAGCCCCAACCAGACAGCCGAGGCTCCACAACTCGGTGTTGGAATTAAAGGATCTTGGTTCCTATATCCCACGTTGGTGGCTAGGGCAATTGGACCGCAATGTGATATACAGAGAACATGAGGCAAAAGGTTGTTTGGCATTTTATGGTGCAAAGCAACTAGGCTATCTGCACCAGAGGCTAAAGGCTTGAAGGGATGACAAGACAATGCATGTAAAACATCTTTAACATCCCAATGAGGCAATTAAAAAGGCCATTTGGACTGAAGGATGCAAAAGGATTTTAAAAGGTTAGATGTAACTGGAGAGTCAAAAACCTTCTTATATTTGGAATATCGAAAAGTAGTCGATAAGGATGCTTTATATAAGGCCACAGTAGACGAAGCCAAACCTCTTTCAAAAATCCAAGTCAAAAAACGTGATATGGTAGACACCTATGGATGAAGGGGGTTGAATTTTCTCTTTATACACCACTGACAATTTTTGTTGATAAATGGTTGGAGTAGGTTGATGGAGAGACTTAGTTAAGTGTAACATAACTTTAGATGTTAAGCCCCTATGTCTGGCAAAGGCCCGCATAACTTCCAGGCACAAAGTTTGAGTTTCTGAACATCTGGGTGTAGAATGTCGGATTGAGGTTGTTGCAACAGAAATGGCCATAGAGGAAGTGGTAAAGATGGACACACCTGCAAATACTGAAGAGGAAGCCATGTTTGAGCGGGCCAAAACAGTGCTACCAAAAGAACCCGATAAGGAGTGGAATGAACCATAGTTAGAACACTGGGCAACAGATGAACTGGGAGAAAGGCATGCAGATGCAAACCCATCCAGTCCTGACTGAATGCATCTATTGCTAAAGCTTGAGAATGAAGTACTAGAAACTAAAACAACTGCAGTTGAGAATTCCAATGAGTTGCAAAGGCATCAATCATCAAAGACCCAAACCGAGAGCAAAACCTCGTGATGTAGCATCAATTCAGTTGAAAGAATCCGATTGTGCCGAGACAAATGATCCACAATTAAATTCATCACCCCGGGAATATGATACGCCTAGAGACTTATAAAATGGGAGTGAGCCCAGTAGAGGAGATCCAAAGTTTGAAAACAAAGATCTTGAGAATGTGTGACACCTTGACGAGAAATGTAGGATACCAATGTGGAATTGTCGGGATGTATCATGACGACTCTCCCCTTCAAGAGAGACAGACCCTTAACCATTGCTCAGTATACCACAAGTAGTTCAACAATGTTGATGTGAAGAGAAGACTCGTAGGTTGTTCAAATACCCTGGAACTCCTCATTGTGGACATAAGCACCCCCATCCTTAAAGAGAAGCATCTGCAAAGAGATGAATCTCGAGACGAGGAATCAGTACCCTGATAGTGGCATTGTTCCAATCCAACCACCTCTCGAGATCTGCCATGTTGCTTCTGAGGAAGGAAAATGGACATTTCAATTAATCAAATTTCATGCTCCATCAGTTACACAGTGACCACTGAAGGGACCTCATATGGGCTCATTCCAAGGAATTATAAATTTGAGGGATACCAACTTCCTCAAAAGAAAGAGAACCATTCATGCAGTAGTCTGATGGGAGTCAGCTGAGCCTGACTTAAGTACATGTTGAAGACCTCAAGATGTACAAGGTGTTGAGTTGGTGATAGAATGGATTTCTCTACTTTGATAAGGAAGCCTGCCTTTGTGGCTTCTGAGAGGAGGATCTGGGTATGTTGTTCTGCCAACTGATGAGATGTGACAGACTGAGGTAAAATTTCATACTTCCATAGAAGATGTATGAAAATTCTGAAAAGAATACATAAAACTAGAACTGTTAATAATAGAAGTAGCTTAGAGATATGATTGTGTTTTTAAAGACTATAGTTGTTGCTT